GTTCGTGATTTATGGTGATGTACCTGTGTTTTTACTTGACAGGCTCCAAGCGTAGTTCGTTCGTCGCAATACTTTATTGCGGGTTTGGTTTATATGCTTGTCCCACATTAATCTTGAATCATAGGCTAAGACGAAACATTTTGCTGACGTGGAAGTTCGGAGAATGGTTTTACCATAAGTACACTTCGGGTGGGTGTCTACGCGTTTTACATTTTATCAAATAGTACAATTTCTGTTTTTGGAACGTTCATTTTTATTCTATGTATTTGACAGTATTCGCTGTTTCGTTTGATTCAAGTTGTAAATTTATATCAGCTATTGAGAGGGCAGGGGACCTCTTCCAGATTTCCATTTCATCCGCGAATTTAGAGCCAAAACAGAAATTTGGGTCTGTTAATGGCTTATCGCTGACATACACGATGAATAGTATAGAGCTAACTACTCCTTCCTGGGGGACAGCTGCCTCAGGAGTAAAATACTCAGAGTAGGTGCCCTCTACATTGTGTGTTTTCCAGAAAGCTAGACAACCAACGAATAATATCCCGCGGTAGTTCCAACCGTGACGTGTGGAACCTTAGACAATTGTGTTGTGCAGTCCCGAAAGCTTTCTCGACGTCGAGAAAACAGGCAACAGTGCATTCAATTTTATTAAAGCTATCAACTATGGTTTCAGTTAATTTAACTGGGTGGTCAGTTGTTTGGCGAACATTTTGTATTTCATATAGCTAGGAATTTGCTAGCAATTTCCTTACAACTCTGCCCCTACTAAAACAACGACATTCTCACGGCATCAAAATTACTGGAACTGTACGATGTGATCGTTTGAAGAATGTTCCACTGAAGGAACAAGAAAAGGATTATTCTGATGTTCTGTAAGACAGAGCTGCTGGAATAACCGTAGTTAAGTAGCGTTGAAATATAGAATAAAAGAATAGATGGAGTTGACATCTTTGATCAAAATCATGCAAGGTATCGTGTACAGATCTGAAACAAAAATAGTACTAAAAAATAGCGAGTTTTTATCTGAACGGTGTTGTATAGACATGAAGACAGTATCCCTCTGCAAGACAGTATCCTTCTGCTAGACAAACCATTCTTTCACTTTTGGCTACTCCTCAGGTTCCAAGAGCTAGAGCTGTTTGTCCCACAAGGGGAGGTCAAGTTCTGCAAGAAATCTGTATAGATGGTAAAGGGCAGTGGCCTGCACGAAACCTGAGACAGTATTGTTGTACCAAGTAAATCTGTTTAAAATACCAGATTAATCTTAACACTGACTGTTTTGTGGAATATCACACAAACTGAAGTTAACCATTACTGAACACCATCTTTGTGGTATGCAGAAAACTCACAACTAGCACTTTCTTTTATATAATATACATTACTTGTTTGTTAGCTTCAGGTATTCAACTTATGTTTTTAAGATCATTTAATTAAAATAGAGGTACAAAGTGTGAAACTTGTTTTTATGTAGGTTGTTAGATATACAAGACTGTTTAGTGTGAGCGTTATTACTTAGTTTATTTTGTGACTTAATATTTCATGATTGTTTTCATGGCAGGAGAGTTGAAGGTTGATTGTTTTAAAAGCATTAGTTGTAACAAATTTTGTTACATAACTCTGTACGAGTGGTACGTTGTGTATGCAGTTAGATTGTTGTACTAGGCTTTAGTAATATTGTTGGCGTCACGTTGTTCGAATCTTCGGTATTTTCTCGTTAGCTTAAGTGAGTATTGTTCCTTTATAGCGTTGCGTTGTTGATAGAAAGTTCGACGCCTCAGTGAACAAGGTGTGTGTATATAATATATGTATATATATATATATATATTATTTTAAAACAAGTGGATTGTGTGCTGTCCGTTTATTGTTCGAATTTATCACCAACAAATCACAGACACCTACTGTAAAGAATCCAAGACCACTTATATTTAAAACCCTGACATGGGAAAGTTGTATTATTTTCTTATATATTAGTCAAATATGCTGGAATAAGTTTCACCTGGTATGATATTACTTGTAAGATCCACGATTTCTAAATATACTAATGAGTGAGCTTGGATTTTGTGTTCAAATATTGAATATGCAAGAATGTTCTGGAAAAGAACTGTACTTTTTGAATGTCGAACACGAAATAATGAAGATTTTTTTTAATATACTTGACTTTTTTTCCTAAAGTCTCAAACATATTCACTCAAAAAACCATATTTTTTCCCCTACGAAAGACTACTGCATGGTATATATATATCGTATGTTAGTAAAAACTAAGTTATTGTTGTCCAAAAACTCTTTTTGAAAACCATCATTTGTTGCTGTTGATGTCTTCAAACAGATATAAAAATGAAGTGTTTATCCAGTTTGCACCAAGGTTCAGTTTTTAATGGGTTAGCAGGAAAAGTTGGCTGTATAGATATCGATTTTATGGAACATATTCGTTTACATGATTTAGAAAGTGATTGTTCATGTCCGTTGTGTGTTTTTAATTGTTTGCGTATTTTCTGTGTTAGTGTATTACCATTTTCAAGTGTGGGGGGTATGTTTGGTATGATTTATGGCTGTTTGTGTAGTGTTTTTGGGTGTGACCAGAATAGTTCTGGATCAGTCTGTTCATTTAGTTGTGACCAAAAGGAATCCGATCTGTTTTCTTTCAGTTGCTTTATTTCGCTTAGTTTAGTGTTTTGTTTTTTAATGTTTTTATATGTGTTTTGACGTGTGGATTTCTTGAGTTTATGTATAATATTCTGAGGTGGCGACGTTCATTTATCATGTATATGGTGTCTGTATGTGGCTGCCACGTGTTATTATGTTTAGGGATTGTTAAATCCGCGGATTCGATAAGGCAGGTACACAGTGATTTTTGGCAGTATTTGTCAATAATAGACGATGATCAATAATCAATTGAAGAAAAAATGTATCTAAATTTTGGAATATTTATAAGTTTCGATGACACACCAGACTAGTAGATGATCACTATCTAGATCACAGTCCACATTAAAGCTTTGAAACTTTTGACTAAGAGAGCCAGAATATCACTGGTGTTATGGGTGGGTGTGCCATAACTGATCAACACACAGTCATTATTATCTATAAAATTCAGTAGTTTAATATAATTACATTTTTTTTTCGTACAACCAAATGAAACTAGTTACTATTTAAATCACCTATTGTTATATCGTTATTGTAAGAAACATAAATTGGTCTTGTAGGAGACCAACAGAGGCCAGCATGTGTCATATGATGTTAGATAAACAGTTAAACATTTATTTGTTGTAATATAGTAAAGTAGTGATATTGTAACTTCTATTTTAAAAGTTGGAATTATAGCGCACCAACCGTTTCTACCAATACATTCACACTTACAAACGAAAAACAACAACATTTCTAAACAAAAAAAGGAACAACATACGATTGTTCCGTCAATTTGGTATAAGTGTTAAAACTCAACTTGTATAATGTCTCACTCCTAAATTGAGAGTGAATTTGTTATGAGCCAGATTCAACCAGAGTCCAATGTGACACAACATATTGTCAAACACGTAGCTGAAATTACTTGTAGAAAATTCTCTCTGTAAAAATAGCTGTTTGCAAGATATGGATCGTGTTGGTCTCCAAAACTTATATGAGCCCGAACAAAGTTCTATTTGAATAAAATATTTGTTTCATCAGTTAGGCTTACAACTTACATAGTTTCCTATAAGTGCTTCTTTCTACTACAATGAGTTATCTGATGAAGAGATCGTTTTTTTAACTTAGCTCATTAATTACTAAATTTGTACTAAAAGTTATATTTATAATTTTATTACGATATTTTGTTGTTATTTTTGTACATTATGCTTTTACTAAGTAATATTGTCTTTATTTTTCAATACCTTTGTTATTTTCTTTAAAACATGCTAACTTATGCTAAATATGGTAGATCAAGTGTTGTGGTCTAATTAATTAATATTATAAAATTATGAAAATCAATATATATATATTAAACATTGTCTTGTGTGTAAACTGTAGAGCAACTAAAGGTAATACGATTCTCAAAAAATCAAAATAACTTTCGAATAATTTAAGCATTCGCATCATTTATCAATTAAATATTAAAAAGAACTATTTTTTAAAATTCACACAAGTTTTGTCGATTGTAAAAACGTTTGTTTATTTTATTCACAAAGTTTCACCAGGTTTACTTGGCATCATCATGGAATACAAGAACTGAGGCTAACAGAATTTAAGTTAAAAAAGAATCGCGTGAAAATCTCTAACAATAGTAATCTACAAGCATACGATTAACCAACTGTAAATAATAAAGTAAACTCTAACAATAGTAATCTACAAACATACGATTAACCAACTGTAAATAATAAAGTAAACTCTAACAATAGTAATCTACAAACATACGATTAACCAACTGTAAATAATAAAGTAAACTCTAACAATAGTAATCTACAAGCATGCGATTAACCAATTGTAAATAATAAAGTAAACTCTAACAATAGTAACCTACAAACATACGATTAACCAATTGTAAATAATAAAGTAAACTCTAACAATAGTAATCTACAAGCATGCGATTAACCAATTGTAAATAATAAAGTAAACTAACAATAGTAATCTACAAACATACGATTAACCAATTGTAAATAATAAAGTAAACTCCTAACAATAGTAATCTACAAGCATACGATTAACCAATTGTAAATAATAAAGTAAACTCTAACAATAGTAATCAACAAACATACGCCTAAAATAATTCATCAATGAAGTGTCAAATTTAGATATAATAAAAATACTTTTAGGCGGGAGTCTAGGTATGGAAATTCGTTCTATATATAAGACAGAAGAGAATGATTAAAATAGATATAAATGAAAACCTTTGTATTTGTTAAGAATGGGTTATGTTTTGTCATTAATATTTTTCGTCTATTAATTTTGTCTTTTCTGCTGACGATTTTTACCTGACAAACGTTGAATTAAATAAACAAAAGTTTTACTGTACACAACCAATAAAACCTTGTGTGAATTCGCATAATTTGTTTGATAGCACATTTTATGACATTTTAATTCTTCTAGTACAAAATATTCTTATTAATTAAAGGAACTTGCAAACAGCAGCTAAGCCTAGAATAGAACTTTTATATCCAGATAGTGTGCCATGTATGGGTCTATGTGAGGGCAACGCTATAGATCGTTTGGTTTTTACCTTCACCTACATAGTACAATTAAGTCATAAAGAAACATTTCATGAACACTGTTCCAAAACAACGCAATAAAATACAACTAGAAGCTTTTGTTATAAGACTTTTTTTTCTAACTAAATCTTATTTCAGTAATTCTGACATCCAAAAATATTTTTGCAACCACATTAAAGAACAACGTATAACAATATTTTTATGATCCTTATTGTTAACAATTACAATACTTACCAGGTGTCTGCTTGGAACACTTTTATTGTTGGTAGTCTCGGGAACAACGATAGATTTATGGAAACATTACCAACCTGATAACAATAAAATCGACCCTAAGAAGAAAAGGTTTTGGCAAGGTGAGTGTTTGATATTATACTGTAATAACGCCCTCTGTTGTGTTGACTTTTTGTGACCCAGTAATATGGGTCCATTACGATTTACTTCAAAATGTTTTTGTAAATCACTGTAATTTTTGTCTAAATACTAAAAACTTTAATAATTCATATTAAAAACTACTTATAATATTACACGTAAGTGCAGAGTTTTGGTAGTATAGTAGAAACACGTTCAATTCCTTTTGAGATAATAGTCATGGACACAGACCTAATTCTATCATTGTTTCACCTTAATGTTTTACTGTTACTAACACTGTCAAAGTTTCTTGCAGCTTAAAGAGGATGTTATGGTGTTTATACAATCCATGGTTTTGTCGCTTCTTGTCTTGACATGCCCTTTAAAACATCTTCTTTTTAAATTACGAAAACCAAAAATAAAACTCCAATTTGGAAGGAAACTGGTAACCCCTGAAACAACAGAATGCAAATTTAAAACCACTGTTTGTTTGTTTTTATCCAGGAACGATTTTCGAAACTTTAAAGTCGTTTTCTCTCTACACCAATGGAAAACAGATGCTGAACACCAACGTTGGGTCAGGAAACCTTGGAGCCCTACATGGTTTCCGTTTCTTTACCATGGCGTGGGTTATCTTAGCCCATACCTACATGATCCCCTCTATGAATGTATATAGTAAGTGTTATTTAAAAAAGATTAAGAACATATCTCATAGTATAATTTTGTTAATCTTAATTAATAGTTAGATTAATCTTAATTAATAGTTAGATTAATCTTAATTAATAGTTAGATTAATCTTAATTAATAGTTAGCAAGCTTCAAGTACACACACGCACACACATGTATATGTATATATTTTATATACGTAATTTTTTTTTGTTTTCAAAAAAATAATGGCATGCATTATTAGTTATGTTGATAATCTTAGATTTTGCTAAGCCTTTATGGCTGATTGTTCTATGAAAAAACGTGTTTCACTAAGAGATTTCTTCTCAGATATGTCAGTGTTTCTAATATCTTCTAATATCTGTAGATAAAATAATTGGTTTTGTAGTATTCCATTAACACATGTTTCATTTCCACAAACCATTTATAGATAAAAGACACGTAGCCTCATAAACAAAAGAAAATAAAAGGTTTGACGTTCTTTCATTGCAAGGGAATTACTTTTTTTGTTCACCGAACTGTCACTAGTATACTGATTTTAAAACCACTTGTAATGATGTAGAACATGTTCCATTAAATTTGTTTTCGTGTAAGTGTGTTATCTACACTGCTTTTCTCAAGCGCAAAGCTACATTACGAGCTACCTGCCCTGAGCCATAGACGGACGAATCTGTTTGTTTTGAATTTTGCGCCAAGATACACGAGGGATATCTACGTTAGCCGTCCCTAATTTAGCAGTGAAAGATTAAAGGGAAGACAGTTAGTCCTAACTCTTGGACTACTCTTTCACCAACAAATAGTGAGATTGACCGTCACATTATAATGCTTTTACGGCTGAAAGGGCGAGCATGTTTGGTATGATGGTGATTCGAACCCGCGACCCTCAGATTGCGAGTCTAGCGCCCTAACCACCTGACCATGCCGGTTCAGAGGGATGAGTTGTTAAAGAAGTAAAAACCAGTGATTATGATTTGAATCCTGTTTTTAAACTTTGTAAACATTATGTAGCCACATAATTATGACTATTACATGTCCCCCGGTGGGTCAGTGTTACGTTTACATAATTACAACGCTAAAATCTGGGGTTTGATTCCTCGTTGTGGACAAAGCTCAGACAACGTGTAGTTTTGCGCTAAAACAAATAAATAGGTTCTTACTTCAAATGTTTACTTAAAGATGAGGTAAATCATTACTTACGTTCATCAGTTTATATTTTTGACACAATGTTAATCGTCACTATTACAGGTGGACTTATAAACTTCCAATATGCGGTAAAGGATGTCAGTTTCATGGCCGTGTGGAATTCCTTTCTACAAGTGGATACTTTTTTTTTCCTCACGTAAGTAAAGTTGGCTGCGATAATTCTAAAGAAACATCTGATACACAACGTATAAATTAAAGAAAGTACAACACGTCACTAATATATAAGACTGTAACTGTGTTAGAGAACAAATGGTATACTTTACTTTAGATCTTTTGATTTAAAAGTAACATTTAGAACGAACTTATTATAATCACGTTTGAATGCATTTTTCAAATATCTCTGTTCATTAGTTCATTACCGAATTCGAATTAGAGGCATGGAACAACATTTGTCAGTCACAAGCTACTACCCTAAAAATCATTTCTTATATTACACGCATTTAGGGTTTGTGTACCAATTAATAAAAGAAATTCTGAAAATAATTATTTGTATTTTTAGTGGAGTGACGCTGGTCTATACAACAATGAAAAAACTAAAAGGAACAAACGGACGTTTGGATCTCGTGAGATACGTGGTACACCGTTATTGGAGGTAGGTTTGACAATTATACTAATTTCAAGTGTTTTGTAGGAACTGTTCCGAGACTGTGGATCTCATTGACAAGCGAAACGTATATAAAACTTAAACTATTGAAGGTTATGTACTAAACCCAAATTCTATTTCAGTGATAATCAAATAACTAAAACAAATTTTCGAGTTTGTAATTTTTAAGATACACCTTGAAAATTAAAAAAAATTAAAAACATAATAATATATAATTAAAACAAACTCTTGGATCTCACATTCTGAATTATGTATTAGAGCTTAAATATATTACAGAAATATGAAAAACTCAGTAGCATATATATAAGTATGTTCAATGTATCAAGTGAATGTAATCGACCAATCGATATTATAGATTGAGTACTTTATATCAAAACTATTTTGGAACCTCACCACGTCGTCACGTCCAGTCATTTTTTCTTCTGACGACCGTGGATTTTTTCAATAGCCTTGCAGCGTAGTTTTTATTACAAAAGGCTTCATCTTAAGGTTATTACGTCCAAAGCACACCCCCTCGCCCTGCTGCTTTCCATAAACCATTTAGTGTACTAGGACGATAGCTCCAACGCCCGTTTCAATAGTCCAATCGTAGAAAAATCTGCTTGTGCAGACTTTTTCGATATGTTCTCATATGGAATAGCATAGATACACGTTTCATTCTTCAGCCTCTCGGGAAATGCGAAGGTAGAATAAATATGTCGTGGAAGCAGCTTGTGAACTCGTAACTTTTGTTGTTGTTATTTCCAGACGGAGATCCTTTCTTTACCACGGCTGGGGTACGACTTGTTGCAATTCTCTTTCTATATGGTCATGGTGCCTCAATTTGATCGATATTCTTCTTTTTTTTCCCAATATCATTAAGTTCAAGGGATAACCCCGTCTAGCATATTCTAAGTCTCCAATCCCAAGATATCTTTATGATCTGAGTGTATGAATATTTTGCTCTTACATATTCTTCCTCAAAGCAATCAATTTTCGGCGCCATTATACTACCTACGTTACATCAAACTGTGTCAAAATGTAGTTCTTATAAAATCCGTTCCATCACGACTTTATGTCAACCGTGGTTATCACGTGGCTTGCCGATTTACATATCCAAAATATTTTTTAACATAACGTACTCAGCTTTATGTATTTATCTCCAAATATCTTCTCTCTTGTTTTGCGAAATGCCTGTTTTACGTTTTGTTGTTTATATATTTATTCAAGGCTGACCCCTCCTTTGATGTTGGTCATATCCCTGATGTTTATCCTTCCGTTACTTTCTTCTGGACCACTTTGGAGTAGATTCGTAGAAAGTGAAATACAAAAATGCAGGAACACCTGGTGGGCAAACATGTTTTACTTCAGTAACTTCCTTTATCCAACAAACATAGTAAGTGTTTCTTCCTAGAACTTAGCTTCAGTTCGATTTACTTACTCAACCACTTTGTCAAAAACAACATAAAAGAGAATTTTGATTAATACAGTTGTTTGTCAGACGACTGTACAGTTTGAAAATCGTCGTTAAAGTTCATAAAAAGTTACTAGGAAACTAATCAAAAATTTTCTCCAAAACCGCTGAACGTTTTTAATGTTAATGTTTACTACGAACTTATTAATTAATATGTAATGCATTCTGGAGACCAGCTTGTTCTGGGTTTAATAAAATAACTAGTTGACGTATCAATTCAACGCTGGTGAATACTATGGACCCCAAGAAGTGACATAGAAGAAGGCGGGTCCATTGATCTACTTATGCCACTTACCAAGAAGCCCTAAAAGTGCATGCGAAATTTGGTTAAGATAGGAAAAAAAATCTATAGACATTAAAAGCAGACATACTGACAGACAGGGCCTCTGCAAAGAAAGAGGGGGAGGGACAGAACCAAATGCCAACCTCCAGGGATGCCCTAAGAGCGCCTTCAAAGTTTGGTTAAGATTAATAGAATAGCACAGGGAAATACACGGAGACAATTCGAGGTCACATAATGGGATCAGATCCGAGCATCTCCATCCCCCCACGTAACTTCCTGTGGGCCCTAAGAATACATGGCAGGATCGGTTAAGTTCGATCAAAAACTGTAGGAGTTAAGGGTGAACATACAGCCAGAAAGTGGCCTCTCGCGAACAGTGTTCCCTTTAAGCTGCGCGGCCGCACAACAAACAATCAAATGCCGCGCACTTCCTCAGCAATGGTGAGAAGACTCAAAACGTTTATTTGACGGCCTTATGGACCCTGGCAGTCGATAGGCCTGAAGCCCAAATAACCAACTGGTAGCATTGCAAAGCGGACAAATAATTCAATAGGATTGATGGTCTACAAATACCCCCCCCCCAAAAAAAAAATCTGGTAGTGCCTATCCGCACATTGCCTGGATACTGGTGCACATGAAAAAATTCATTCCGCACATGGGATGAAAAAATTAGAAGGATCATTGCTCGTGAAGTAACACAGGGTTTAACAGAATGACAACTCACTATGACACTCCCCGGGGGCTCTAAATGTGTGTATGCCAAGTTTATTTGAAAAGTAGACAGACGATAATATTACTTTATATATATAGATGATAATGATAAAATAAAATGGAGACCAAAGTAATTAGTTTATCATCTAGATATTTACATTTTCTTATTTTCTCTAGTTTTACATTTAAACCATTATTTTTCAATACTACAGGAATAATATTGATTCTTTACACGCACTGGAACTGATGTTATACTGAAAATTACAAAACGAAGAGTCATGTATATTCTCAGAACCTGGACGTATAGCCTTCAAAACAACTGAATTTGGAGAGTTATAATAAAATCAGTTATAATTCAATAACATTAGCAATAGCTTTCAAATGAAAAGTATCGATTTTTTTAGTTCAACCATAATTAGTAGTAAGGACATTTAGCTAGTGTTCCGCCCTAAGGAATAACACAACTCTATACTTACAGCATGCTAGACCTTAATAACATCTAACATCCAAGTTGTATATGTACTTTGAACTTGCTATGCTTCTTACCATATGTAACACCTAAATGAAGATGTATTAGTATAACAATCTATATAATAAGATTCAGTGTAACACATAAATGAAGATGTATTAGTATAACAATCTATGTAATAAGATTCAGTGTAACACATAAATGAAGATGTATTAGTATAACAATCTATGTAACAAAGTTCAGTGTAACACCTAAATGAAGAAGTATTAGTATAACAATCTATGTAATAAGATTCAGTGTAACACCTAAATGAAGATGTATTAGTATAACAATCTATGTAATAAGATTCAGTGTAACACATAAATGAAGATGTATTAGTATAACAATCTATGTAATAAGATTCAGTGTAACACCTAAATGAAAAAGTATTAGTATAACAATCTATGTAATAAGATTCAGTGTAACACCTAAATGAAGAAGTATTAGTATAACATTCTATGTAACAAAATTCAGTGTAACACCTAAATGAAGATGTATTAGTATTACAATATTTGTAACAAAATTCAGTGTAACACCTAAATGAAGATGTATTAGTATTACAATATTTGTAACAAAATTCAGTGTAACACCTAAATGAAGATGTATTAGTATTACAATATTTGTAATAAGATTCAGTGTAACACCTAAATGAAGATGTATTAGTATAACAATCTATGTAATAAGATTCAGTGTCTTTGTGTCATGTAATTCCTCTTAAACCGTCCCCCGGTGGGACAGCGGTAAGTCTTCAGATTTACAATGCTAAAATCAGGTGTTCGATTCCCCTCGGTGGACACAGCAGATAACCCCGATGTGGCTTTGCTATAAGAAAACACACACACCTCTTAAACAACTGGTCGAACCGACTTCTAAATGGGACCAAACGAATCGTCGCGGTCTGGAGGTTTGCACAAAAGTAAAGTCTTTCACCCAACTCCTTATAGAACCCGGGTATTTGGCGAAAACCCTTTAACGGGAATTTCCCGAAACGGCCTACAACTTTGGCATTCATATACTTTAGAGCGCGTAAATAAGTAAGCCTGCTAATTATCGTTCGTTAGTTGGTTAGTGAAATTAAATATGAATCATAGCAGCAATGATCATTAAACTGAAAAATGCAAAATAGTAGTTCAAGCATTAAGTTTGCATTACAGCGCCCTTGTAAATGTGGGCCTTAGGCCCACGGCTCGCTAGTTAGGAAATGGTATTGTGTCCTACTGGAACAACCAACAGGAAGGTGTAACTTTAATTAATAAAAAAATCTGTATTTTAGTGTTTTTGATCTTCATGAAACTACCAACCAACAAATAGGTGCAACATTAATTAATAAACAATTTTGTTTTAATGTATTGTGTCCTACTAGAACTACCAACTAACAAGAAGGTGTAAAATTAATTAATAAACAATTCTGATTTAGTACGTTTGTCCTACTGAAACTACCAACTAACAAGAAGGTGTAAAATTAATTAATAAACAATTCTGATTTAGTACGTTTGTCCTACTGAAACTACCAACCAACAAGAAGGTGTAACATTAATTAATAACCAATTCTGTTTTAATGTATTGTGTCCTACTGGAACTACCAACTAACAAGAAGGTGTAAAATGAATTAATAACCAATTCTGTTTTAGTATGTTTGTCCTACTGAAACTACCAACCAACAAGAAGGTGTAACACTAATTAATAAACAATTTTGTTTTAATGTATTGTATCCTACTGGAACTACCAACCAACAAGAAGATGCGACTTTAACTAATAAACGATTCTGTTTTAATGTATTCTGTCCTACTGGAAAGTGTTACACCTTCTTGTTAGTTGGTAGTAAAACAGAATTGGTTATTAATTTGTATTGTGTCCTACTGGAACTACCAACCAACAGGAAAGTGTAACTTTAATTAATAAACAATTCTGTTTTAATGTATTGTGTCCTACTGGAACTACCAACCAACAGGAAAGTGTAACTTTAATTAATAAACAATTCTGTTTTAATGTATTGTGTCCTACTGGAACTACCAACTAACAGGAAAGTGTAACTTTAATTAATAAACAATTATTTGTTTTAGTGTGTTTCACCCTACTGGTATCTGTCAGCAGACATGCAGCTCTACCTCATCTCGCCGGTTGTACTTATTACACTCTACAAGTAGGTATTTTATGCTATGTAAGCACTTACTTTAATTTTACTGAATGACATTTACTAAACTAAACAATGGTAACTAGTTATTTAAAAGTATCATATGTGTACGTCACTTAGATTGTATCCTTACATAATGAATGTTGTTGTTTGCTTTTTAAGTATGGTAACCCTAATTTTCACTCTTCGCAACTGAAACAAGTCTAGACCGATAAAAATGGTATTTTCAGTGGATTATACGCTATACGGAAATGAGTGTATGATCTACATTTTGAAACAATCCCCATTCATCTCGTATTTGTAATTCATATAGACATTTAATTTGTTGTCATTTCATATACAAATATCACTCAAACTTTTTAAAAGTCGCTTTTTCTACTAGATTGTGCAACATATCCCCGTTACCTTCTCTGTCCTCTCATTGGTCATTTTGTAAGTTTGAGTGATATGAAGTGATATTATGTAGGTCATACCTAATGTCCTAAATCAGGCCTATTTTAAGAAATAGGACGTTGCCACTTGTACTACTTTTTTCTTTATTTTCTAGAAGAAAAAAAAGCACGATGTGTGCTTATCGCCGAATAATATAATTAGGTTCAGGTTGATAGAAGTTTTAACTGGAAATTCGTTTTCAAAATATTTAGATTTACAACATCCGGTGAAAGGTGTAATCCTGGGGAAGAAACCATTTCGAACGTTGCTTTGTTATGGATGGGCGGGACGTAAATTCTTCACCATGCGTGTATGTCCTCTAGCTTCTCGCGGGGATTTTCGTTGTTTTAATGTAATTACAAGGCTTTCAACGAACCCGTAGTTTGGGACCTTGGTGTTGAAGGTCTTTTGTCGATAGGATTCTCTCACTGCGTCAGTAAACATCGGATTTTATTAATTACTTTTAATAATCGAATTACCTTGTTTTACGTTTCGGTTAAAATAAAGTTATTGGTAAGGTAAGAAAGATGTTGTGATGTTCACATTAAATAAAATAATAAAACGAAAAATCAACGTTTTTTATTTGCACAATCATTTATTTGTAAAGATTAAAGAATTAAAAATATATAACTGACGATGGTGGAATTATTTACACCGAAACATGTAGAGTTTTAAGTTTCTTTTAACTTATATATTTTTGATTTTTTAATATTTACAAATAAATGATTGTGCAAGTAAAAAAACATTGATTTTTCGATTTATTATTTTATTGAACATTTTTGCACAGGAACTGTCTGTTTTACGTATTAATGCTCATATTATCTTGATTTTTCCACAGCGCGGAATCAATGAGCAACTAAATTTCTAAATACCTGCAGGTTAATCCAGGGTTCTGAGTTCCGTAGATATATATTTTGATAAACCTACACAAAACTTCTAATACTTCTTGCTTGTCACAAGGTTCTTTACCTTCGTGTTAAAGGTACTTTCCATGGTATGGCACTCAACACCTGTTACTTTCTAACGGCCTATAAACTGAAGTGGCCTTGGGAAGAGTTGGCAGCGGGTGCTGTTCACTAGCCTCCTTCCCTCTAGTCCATCTTTTCAAAATTAGCAAACAACTCTTCAGTAGCTTTATGGCCGAAAACCAAACAATTAGTTAGATATAATTATAAAATGAATATGAAAGAAACTCGTATCGATGCATTGAATATTCAAGTGGTTTATTAATAATACAAATCAATAAAACATTCTCAATTATTGATAATTTGTGTTTTCACCACCAGATGGCCACGTATGGGTTTTGTTCTCATCACATTTGGTATTTTAGCATCATGGGTTTCTATAGCAGCAATTACAATGTGGAAGGATTTTAATCCATCAGTTGTGCTGTTTGACACAAAGTAAGAAAGATATTTCATGTTTACATTTAATTTCATTATAATATGTACACATATATTCCTAACATATTACTAGCATTATTAAATGATAGATTAAATGTTGAGTGACAATGTTTTTAGTGCCACATTCTCATATCAATTGTTTGAGCGGAAATATTTACATTTTCTGTGTGAATTTCACACTTTTCATTATAAACACTCAATACCGACATTTCTTTCATAATACCCCACTCTCAGCTTTAAAGTTTTTGAAATAGTTTATTCTAAGCTTTTTCAAGATTTGAAATTTTCAGAACGAATTCTATTTCTCCTTTTAATATTCGCTGTAATTACGAATCCCAGTTATTATTATTAATAATTATTATCAAACGTATTCAGTTATTATTATCAAACGTATTCCAAATTTTTCTCTTAATATTCGCTATAATTGTATATCCCATGTCTTTATTATTTTCATCAGAATGTATTCCATTTCTCCTCTTGTTAATCGCTGTAATTACGTTTCCCAGGTTTTTACTATTTTTAAAACAAAAATAACATGTTTGATTTCGTTATAAGATCTTAACAAATCTTTCACCAAACGTGCTCGCCCTTTCAGCCGTGGGGGTGTAATAATGTGACTGTCAAACCCACTATTCGTTGGTAAATAAGTAGCCCAAGAGT